CCTGTTTTTTCCAGTTTTTTTTTTTCTTCTCTCAAGGTAACAGAAGTTTTTTTTGGTGGAAGAATAATAGGATTTGAGTCATTCTTCAACTCAATGTGATGTTCAGATCACTTCACACCTAACACGGCAAATAATTTCGGATACACTTTTAGTAATTCTTCTTTTAATTCTTTTCCTTATTTTTATTTAATTCGTTTAATCCTTTTCCTTATTTTTATTTCATCCGACTTAGCTTCGTTCATGTCTACAGTTTTTAGTTCATTTATTAGTTTGATAGCTTTTAAGTCATGTGAAGTTTGTAAGCTAAATACGAGTTTGCTTGTTGTTTCAACTACATAAAATTTATCCAAATTTTTACAACTTTCGTAGTAACACATCATCTTTACTGTTCCAAACACTGGATTGTGATTTCTTCCATAACCACGCAGTTTAAAATTTGTATAAGTGAGATAATCACGTAGTGTTAGTTGGTCGTAGACTCTTTTTTTGGCATAACATCAACTTCAGCTTCAGAAGCAATTTTCCCACGTACTAATTTATTATTAATTTTAAAGATTATCAAAGCTTTTTTTTACCATTCATTTCACCAGATGATACAGATTCCATATGGTATTCTACAGCGGAATTTTATTGTATATTTTTTGAATTGCAGCAAGTTGCCCAATGATTTATTCTATTACATTTACGGCATGTTTGACCGAATGCAGGACAGTTTCTTGGTTCGTGTTTTTTATTGCATTTCTTGCACTGTCTTTGTTATTATTTTTTATTTGAGCCATTATTAATTTGTTTCCAGTTTTCTCCTTATTTGGTATTTGTCCGATTGACGCATTTTCTTGTCTTGGTTTTATGAATTTCTTTACCATGTCAAAATCTTTTTGGTATGTAATTGATTCCATTTCTGTATTAGCAACCTTTCCAGCTCTGCATATGTCAATCGCTTTAGTTAAAGTTAAATCCGCTCCTTTTCTAAGTAGATTATTTTGGACTTTGTCTCATTTGATTCCGTCAATTATTTTGTATATAATCAGACCATCTTGAATGTTTTTAAACTCGCATGTTTGAGCCAGATTTTTTATATCAGTCAAAAAGAAATCAAATGATTCATTGACATCTTGTTTTTTGTAAAAAAAATTTTTTCGTTCCAAAATCAGATTTTCTTTCGGTAAACAGTATTCTTCGAACCTTTTAAAAAGTTCTTTTACCATGATGTCATCGATTTCACCGCCGTCAATTTCTGTTTTGTTCCAAGCCCATGTGTTGAATATTTCTCTTCCTTTTTCACCAATCACAAATAAGAATGTCGCGTATTTTTCTTCCTCTGATTTATTTGTCTTGCTAATTTTAGATTTGTATATTTTAGAGACAACCGCGTAGTTTATTTCTGTTTTTTCCATGTAACAGCTATATTGGATACATTGAAGTCCATTTGGTTTGACTTTCGCAAAAAGTTTTCCATTTTCTTTTTCTTTTCAAAGTAAGTGCTTTTCCAAAATCTCTTTTTAAAATGTCTTTTAAAAAGAAAATTCTTGTTTATTATGAAGAGAATTCTTGTTTATTATGAAGAGAAACTTCTTGTTTATTATGAAGAGAATTCAACGTTATTTTTTATTTAATACTCATTTTATTTGCTCGGCTTATCAATTATAAAGATCGATTTGCTCATGCCAAACCATTATTATTTCAAATGAAAATTCTTAATATTTATCAGCTAAATATTTTTAATATACTTTGTTTTATGTTCAAGTGTAAAACCAACGAATCTCCAGTTTCTTTTCATAATCTATATACCTTAAAAGATAAAAATAAATATAACTTAAGAAATGATAATCAAATTCAGCAACCTTTATCTTTAACTAATTTTGGAAAGTCATGTATTTCATATCGAGGAGCTTTTCTATGGAACAAAATAGTTTAAAAAAATTTTGATTTTTCCCATGAATGGAATTATCTTTCATTCAAGAAAAAACTAAAAGAATTTGTTTTGTCTTTTGAAGACATTTTTTTATATTTTTAAATTCTTTTAAAAATGAATATGAAGTTTATTACATAAGGTAATATATAAATATTATATCTGATCCATAAATTATATGTTTGTGAAAACAGTACTTTTTAAAATATTTTTGTATTTATATATAAGGGTATCAACAATTTCTTTATTCCAATTTTATTGATATATTATTACGAAATTTACGTTCTCGCTATTTTTTAATACGACATTGTTTAGATTTTATACTTCATGTTAATTTAATGTACTTAATATTCACGAGCGGTTCTCGATGATAAGACCTGAAGGTCTTCTGCGAGTCTTCGCGTTCTTTCTTTTTTGTATATATTTTCTTTTGTTGTATAACGATTTTTATCTAAACTATCTTATCGTATAACTATATTGAATATTCAAGAAAAGAACAAAAAAAAAAAAAAAAAAAAAAAAAAAAATTTCAATATTTTTATGTTCAATTGTTACAACTAGCTTAAAGATAAAACATTACATGTTTACAATGTGTAGTTTCGTCTCGAAGCTCCAACTGTCATTAAGTTCAGCGCAACGGCTTTTAAGGGAGAATTCCTTGCACGGAGTTCTCTCAAGGGAATACTTTTGTAATTAGTTTTCGTCCAATTCGCAAAAGGAAATTGCTTGTTTTGCAATCGCTGATTGCTATTCTGAATTAGCCTTATAAACGATTGTCCAGAGGGCGTAACAATCATTACAATAATAATACAACAGACAAACACAACAACCAAGACAACAATCAATAAAACTAATAAAAATAAATACATAATAATACTGACAATAGATAATAATAAAAATAATAGTAACTGATTAAAATAATGAAATAATAAAGGATCGGACTTGTAAACGACGCACCCCTCTAATTTTTAAACACGTTTTTTCGAAAATGATATTTTACTGACCAAGTAAAATTAATTAAGTAAATTAATTAAAGTGTAATTACATCAATTGATCATAAGTAATGAATAGAATTAAATGCAAATGCTTTGACTAACCATTAGGGATTGACACAACGAAATATACATTTATCAATTGACCGCAAGAATTGGGACAATATTAGTCACGATTATTAGTATTTCATAGGGGTACGTCGTTTACAAGTCCACCAAAACTAATACTTACTTAATATATAAAATAAATACCAATAAATATAATAATAAAAACTAAATATATAATAGTTAGTTAGTTTAGTATAAACATAGATTATAGTAACTATGGCAATAATGCTCTTTTATTTTATGCATAGTTGTCAAGATGACTTTCTTTAATTTTATTTAAAAAAGCATATCTTGAATTTAGGTGGTCAGTTTTTTTGGAGTGGGGGAGATTGTTCCACTCATTGATGCATTGATGCATTATAGAGTTTTTACCATATATTATTGTTCAACTGTGTTTAACAAATATATTTTTACATAATGAGGATCTAAGGATACAGGAGTGTTAGGAACTGGTTTGGGAGAGAAAGTGAAAGTAATTGGGAGTCTACCATGCAAGTAATCCCATACAAAGGTACAGTTCATATATTTGATGTTGTAGTTAAGTTTTAAAACCTGCGAGACATTGTTGAAACAGTCATTCTGAAATGGGATGATTTTAATGGCTTTATTTTGTATCGAGGAAATATTTTTTGAGGTTTGATTTGTAGTTTGTCTCCAGATCTGGCAAGCATATTGTATGTGAAATCCAAATATGGCGTGATAAATACTATTTGAAGTTTCTAAGTTGACAAAGCGCCTTATATTGGCCAACATACCAATAAATTGACTCAATTTTGACTGTAATTAAGTTTGGTGGTATTTATAAGAAAGATTTTCATCCAGCATTATTCCAAGATAACTTACTGATTTTGAAGGAGTTAATATCTCTCTACTAATATTAAAATTTAATTGCTTATTAATTTTTGGCTTAGGGTTTCAAAGACTAAGTGAGATTTTATTAGCTCCCAGCCATTCGAGAACTGATGAAATGGACTCATTAGTTTTATTTTGAACTTTGTCAGCAGAGTCAAATTAGTGTCATCAGCAAAATGGTAAGTATATACATTATTGAGACATGTGTTTAATTCATTGATGTATACCAAGAATAGAAGAGGCTCAAGGATAGATCATTAAGCAATTCTATAATTAATAGGTTGGGTTGATGAGGTAATTTCATTAATAGTTACAAATTGAAGTTTATGGTTTAATTAAGATTGGAACCAGTTAAAAAGAACTTCACGAACTCCATAATATGCTAATTTAGTCAGAAGGATACCATGGTTTACTGTGTCGAATACAACTTTGACTTCTTCAACTCAATAAATACACTACAACCAAATCTATTTTCATCTATGAATTTTCGGATAATCTCTGTAAAGTCAATAAGTGCATAGGTAGTTAAGCGTTTATGTCTAAATCCATATTGTAATATATAAATGCAATTAAAGATCTCCAAATACTTGTATTGTCTTAAATGCATCATTTTCTCAAATATTTTTCCTAAATTAGACAATAATGAAATAGGCCTGTAGTTAACAAATTCAGGTTTGGAGGCATTCTTGTGAATTGGAATAACCATTGCAATTTTGGAAAAGTCTGGGAATACTCCTTTTATAAATGAGTTATTTATTATTTTACAAATAGGTTCAGCTACAATTTTATTGGATAACTTTAAAATTGAATTCTTATTATAATCAAGCTGGAGAGTATGAAAAATCCAAAAAAGACTAGTGCTTAACTAAGAAATTATATAGCTACACTTGGCATCCATTTCTGTTTGGGTACTGTGCAGATGAGATCTATATCTATTGGAAGGTTTTCTTGAAAGTCTAATAAAATAAATTACTTTAAGACGCCATGAAAAGGAAGTATAGATGAAATGGAGAAAGGTAAGATATAAATGAAATTGTGAATTACACACCTATTTTGCTATATTTATATTGCATATTGGCAACCCTCGGAATTAGGGTCGGCATTCGGCAATGCCGACCTAACTGCCGACCTTAAAGTGTTTGAGGTCGGCAAATTATTGCCGACTTCATTTTTCCTAACTCCGAGGGTTGATATTGTTGATACTTTAAAATTTAGGCCGTTTAATTAAAGACACTTGAAAATTGTCACCTTGTTTCATGTTTTAAGTGCAAGGTCAGCTAAAATTTGAAACCTGAGGTTTCAAACATAATTATTACTAGAGATGTTGAATTGATAGACAATCGGACAGTAATAAAGTTTTATTATAAAATTTAGAGAGAAGCAAAAGAAAAAATTTAGTAATGCAGAAGATACATCAAATGTTGATAGAAAAAACAAGGTAAACAAAGTTCATTTTAGTTTAACATAGGATAAGATAGATGTTTTTGTTATGAGTTACCTAATTAAATTTATTTAATGTTAGTTAGCGTCAATTTCATTTTGGAATCATATAGATATATTTTGTTTGTCTATAGCAAAAAAGGTTTTAAAGCCATAAAAATAAAGACTCATCAGAAATGAATGATCAAATTACTGAAACTTCAATTTATACTAAAAATAAAATTACAGGAAGTCGCATGTCTTAATTTCTGTAATTTTTCACACATTTGTGGAATTTGCTGACACTAATCTAAAAAGAATTCTTTAGAAATGATTATTTCTGCTTTTTTAAAAAATGTTTTTTAAATAGGGAATTTAATGTAACTATTATTTGAGCTCACTTATTTTTATAGTTTTTTAGGAAAAACTTATTTTTGTGCCTGCATTTAAAAATCAGTTCCGATTTTCTATTTAATAAACATTCTTGGATTGCATGTGTAATTATTTTAGGTTTTTCTTGTAGACATAGTATGCACTTTTTGGAAATTTTGTTATATGCAGGTGTTGTTTTAAGGATGGACCAATTCAGTGTAAAATCATCAATATTTTTATCTTTTATTTCCCATTTATATTTTGACAGCACAGTGTCTTTTAAATGCTTTTTATTTCTAAAAGATTGCTTATGATTGGCAAAACATTTTTACCATTCACCCTCTGTTAAACCAATATATTATGTATTCGGTGCATTCTTAGAGGAAACAACTTATTTATAAACCACATTTTTGATAAACAACTTCCACTCATTGGACAATTATTTTTTTGTTTACAATTACAATTTTATGTATTGTTTTCATTTAGGATTTCTTTCTTGTTTAACAAAATATTATTGTGACCTTTTATAATTCTTTCCATATTTTTTGAACAACTGTAACTAACTTTTATTGTATTTCGATTAAAAATTTTATGTAATTTATTAGAGTGCGGGAAATGCGGGAAAAAAATCTATCAATTTTAAAAACACTTTTCCTATGTTAGTGGAAACATTATTCCTATATGGGGGTTGAACCAATTTACATTTCTAGTTCTATTTTGCTTTTTTGTATTCTTTTTTTTCAGGGTCAAATTTTAGTTCAAAATTTACAAAACCACTTTTTTAAGAGCATCTTCAAATATTTGTTCAGAGGAATTAAATACAATTTAATTAAAGGAGTTTTGGTTTAGCCTGTTATCAATTGAAATCAGGGTTTGTTTTAGTGTTTAGGGTGGATGATTTGAGTTAATACTAATATAGAATAATTCACTGTTTGGTTTTTTGAAAGGCTTATATGAATTTTCAGAGAGGTTAAATGTGACATCAAGAAAGTTCACAATTTTTAAAATTATTTTTATTTCGATTTGAAAGCCAATATTTTAAAAAATTTTTATAACATCTTTTCGAATCTTATCAAGCTGTGGACCAGATTTTTTACGCATTACTATTAAACCATCGTCACAATAAAGGCGTAAATCATTTATATTGATTATTTTACTTGAAAAATCTAAAATGTAAATTCCAACAAATTCACAAATTTCTGCTTTGTCCTAACTGCCCATTTTTACATCAAAGCAGTCATATATGGTTTTCTTTTTCCAAGTTTCTTTATTAAAGTAAAGTAAGGTTTTTCTACAATGTTTTATTATATGAATTGTTTCTTCAGGAATAACTATGTGGCTTTTTGCAAATTCAATTGTTTATCTAAAATATCTGCAGTTATTGAGGGGTAAAAATTAATATTAAATTGAACATTAATATCAAATTGAATAAATGTACAATCATTTTTATTTTTGATTACCGAGAACCAATATATAAGATCAGTTGTATTTTTCCACTGTTGCAAATTTAAATTATTTCTATAAATATTATAATTTTGTCCATTTTAATTTTGCTCACATGTCCAATCTCACTGTTTGTGAGATTGGACATGTGAGTTTATGTCTTTTAGTGTTACGAAGGCTTGGGCAGGGGCAGTTGGTTTAATTCTGTTATCAAGTTTTTTTTTTTTTTTTTAAATCCAAATTGATTCTAATGCAGGCACAAAAAATAAGTTTCTTTTAAAAAACTATAAAAATAAGTGAGCTCAAATAATATTTACATTAAATCCCCTTTTTGAAAAAATATTTTTTAAAAAAGCAGAAGTAATCATATCTAAAGAATTCTTTTTATAATAGTATCAACAAATTCCACAAATGTGTGAAAAATTACATAAGTTAATACATGCGACTACCTGCAATTTAATTTCTGGTATAAATTGAAGTTTTATTAATTTGAGCATTCATTTCTGATGAGTCTTTATTGAAGAAACACAGTGTTTAATAAAAAAATTCTAAGGGTTGATATATATATATATATATATATATATATATATATATATATATATATATATATATATATATATATATATATATATATATATATATATATATATATATATATATATATATATATATATATATATATATATATATATATATATATATATATATATATATATATATATATATATATATATATATATATATATATATGTGAGAGAGAGAAAAAGAAAGAAAGAAAGAGAGTGATAAATAGATATTGATATCACACCCTAGTGGAAATATTATTTATGAAAAAAAAAGTACACCAAAAATGAATTATATTTTCAAAACCATTGTACCTTGTTCTGCTATGACCTAGATTTTAAAAATATTCAATAGAATTTTTTTTTTTTTTTTCTATTGAAATTAATATTTTTAACTAGTTTAAAATTAATCGACCGATTTAAAGTTTTATACAAAAATCTCTTCTCATTAAAAAGTTATTATTATTTTTAGTTTTTTATTCCCCAATTAACTCTAAAAAATAACTTTAAAAGGTCACAACTTTTAAACTGCATATTTTTTGGAATCATATTTAAAATTTGTCGATAAATTTTGATTCTTTTATATTTATGAAAAAAAAAAAAAATTTCATAAATTTTTTTGATTGGGTTTGATCAAATAAAAAGAAGATTTTATTTTTTTGTTGTGGTTTTTAGTGATACTTATTATAACAAGTTGATAATAACTGTTTCATATTTTACAAGCTAACTTTTCACAATAAATTATATACATTGTTAATTAGTAAGACTTTCAGAAAAGAAATGATAAGATGACGAGAGTTATAAGTAACAATAGCTTTATGCAATCTTTTTGAATAATTTTTGTGACATTTAAATACCTTGTAATTGTTTTCCCAGAACTGACTAAACTTTTAATAAACAGATTCAGAGGCTAGTTCGCTCCAATAGCCTTGCCTTTTTTTTTAATAATTATTTGACATCATTTTGTTAAAATTTTACTGTATGTTTTACTAGGTGATACTCTTAATCCAAGTTTATAATAAGCTTCTTTATAACTTTTATTAAAATTGTATTAAAAAAACTTTCTTGAATACTTTTATTTCCTAGTCGGGTTCTAAAGTCATCACTAAACAACTAACTTTAACTTTTCTCAAGCATTTAAATGCCTGTACTATGAAAGAAAGATGTTCATCATAATCTAATGAAAAAGACTTGATCAAATTGTTCAAAATATCTATATTATCAAGAAGTTTTGAACATTGTCCTCCCTTAAATTTCCCACCATAAAGCCTTGGTCTTTTAAAGCCCAGTTTTTCATTCCACTCCTCTGCTTTAAAACAAATTTCTTTAGATTTTGTATTTGAATCAAGATAATTAAAAAATTAGCTGGTGTTTCCACTGAAAAGGTGTAGTTCCATCAGAGCAAGAACTTTGATAACCTTTGTTTCATCGGGTAAATCAATAAATGGTTGGTCTACACAGTTATGATAGGGTACTTTGATTTTGTAATTTTATTTCTGCAACCATTTTTGTAATTATTAGCTGATGATCTAATCATTCCAGGCGTTCTATGTTCACCTTGAAATTCAAAATTTTGAAAATCATGTTTGCTAGCTATACACCAAGGGCAAGGATGAGTTGAGGCTGCAGTTTCTATTCCAAAAAAAATATTGTCCAACTTCATATCGAAAGCACAAAAATATTTAATACTGTTTAGAATAATAAAATCGATTACTATATTCATATTTGCGTAAGATTCTTGCAAATTTTCTACAAGTGCAATAATAATGAGTTTGTTAACCCCACCATCTTTGTATCTTTCTTTAACTATGCCTTCGTCATAACTAATTTTTTTTACCTTTACTTTACCTCACAAGGATCTAAGATATTTAAGCAAATTTTCAAAAATCCAGCTCCTTCATCAATGCATACTTTTAAAATATACTAACTTAAAATATTTCTTTTTTTCACAACATTTTCCACCAGTCTTAGAAATCTTTGCAATAAAAAATTTAACAAATTTTATGTCAAAGTATTCATTTAAAATGGTGTCATCTTTAATTAGTTTGTTTCTAATATTTTTTTTAAATGATTTGTAATCTTTCCAACTTCTAAAAATACTTAAAACTTTAGCACCTTGTGTGTTACTGAGACCACATGCATTTTTTATTTTCTTCATTTTGTAGGTATGGGTGAATCAATAAAGAAGTTTTTGGTCTTTGTGTACTAATTGAAGTTCTGCATGTTGCAACCTTAATTAAATTGCCTTGTTTTTGAAACTTTTGTTTAGGTGTTTTAAAACATTGTAATTCGACACCTCTATCTTTTAAATAAAAATCTACAATATAAAGTTTGTTGTTACTTTGGAATTATTATTATAATTTAGTTTTAATAGGAAATTAATAAAATTAATATTTTTTTACCTTCATCTAGTTGCTTTATTAGGTTTTCCCTTCTCTTTGTAATACAACAGATGTGAGCTAATCCTGGTTCAATAACATTTAAACATCTTTTACAAACTTTAACTGGTCCAGGAGAGGGTAAAACTTTCATGTTAAGTTTTGGTCTTCCTCTTTTTTCTATATTTGATCCACATGTTAAATTACTACTAGCAGTAAGGCAAATATCACATTGTTAAAATTGTTGGTTTCTAGTAAGAATA